GTGGGCCGTAGTGTCAACCCCCAGAAAGCCCAATGTGTAGGGTATGTTGTCGTCTTGTAGTGCTTGAGTAACAGACTGAAATTCCTTGCATTTATTCTGGGTGAAAACAGACAGTTCGGGAAACAGCTGCATAGCTTTGTGTTTGGTAGTCTTCTCTGTGATGTGCATGCCGACAAGATTTGCACCTTGCAAATGTAGAAATGGATCCATACCATAGTATCTTTAGGGGCTCCTTGCGGCGCATGGCAGCCCTTGGGGAGTCTGTGGATCTGGTTGATAAGGACCTCCAAGGCAGGCAGGTCTTTCAGTATGCTGGAGAGGAAGGCCTTGAAATATTCCTTCAAATCTGCATCAGACACAGAGTCTAGTATACCCCGAATTCTGATATTATTGAGGCATGAGCGATCCTCAATGTCTGCGAGTTTGATTTGCAGAGCAGTTACCTCTTTCGCCACATTGATATGATTGTCAGCTAGGGTGTTATGTGATTCAATTATGCTGTCCATTTTAGATTCAAGTTTGTCCGTGTGATCCCCTTATAGATTTTTGTAGCTCATTTGAAATTTTCAGGAAGTCAGCATGGAGATGTTTCCTTAACTCCTGCATGATCCCCCTCATTCTGGCTGTAAATACCTCCGAATTTAGGAGCGCCGTCGCGGTCAGCGTGGGCTCATCCACGTGGTCTTACTCCCACCGTGGTGTAGAGGCCGGGGAGCTGGTACGGCTTTTCATGTCTGTACCTCGGGAATCCTGTATCAGGTAAATTTTTAGCTTGGCCTTGGATTTCTTCCTCTCGTTACCCGCCATTGCGACTGTGTCTGGAAGCTGTGTGTTGGTGACTGCCACGTTTTGAAGCCGTTTTTTGTGCGTCCTGTTGTGGAGCTACTCGATTATGCGGCCATGTTGTGCACCAAGCCACACGCCCCCTCCTTTAATTGCCATTTTAACCTATTTGTGTCACCATGTGTGTCTGTAACAATGCCAAACATTCAAGTGTATGTAAACTTTTGATCAGGGCCATTTGGGTGATTTGTTATCATTATGATTTAAAAATGAGCCACATAACTATGTGATAATAAATGGCTTTATGTGATCACTATCCTTCAATAAAAAAACATTTTTGCACGGTCAGTCATATTTTCCAAATTAATGTCAAAACTTCAACATTTCTGCCAGGGTATGCAAACTTTTGAGCACGACTGTATATGGTAGCATAGGGGTATCCTCTATAGACTTTCAGTGAGATTAGACAAAATCAGCATTATCAAACTCTCACCGGTAACACACTAGGTAAGGACCAATAAATAATTCCCCCCACTGCTATAAGTTATCCTTTGGGTCCCTGATATAATGAATTATTTAACCGCTCCTTTTAAAAGCTCAGGGGGTAGATAGAGGTATAAGCATGTGTAAGGCCCCTGCTAGTCTTGGTGAAAAATGCATTTTAATACTGTAAGCAACATTGCCAGTCTGAGCATGCATAATTAATACTAGCTGCCCAATTTGGCTATAGAGTAGGCCAATGGACAGTGGGGCTGAAAATGGTAGTAGATACACCACTGTGTATGCAAGTATCTTTGCTTCTCTAGGTACTGGAAAACACGGTATCATAAACAGAGTCCTAGCAAAATAGGTAAACCATTGACAACAAGGTTCACAGTATTTTAAAACATTAATTGTGCAGAATTTATTAAGCTTTCAAGGGAATAAATGAATAAAAAAATATTTTATTTAATTATAACTAGTATTATTCAGTTATCACAATGCATTTAATTTATTTTAAAAAACTATTTTTGGTTGACATGCACAAGATACTCTGTATAAATATGTTCTCTGTAATTTCAAGCTGCCACTTTAAATGAATACTTAACGATAATTTGCCAAGAGCCAAACTGCTAATTTAGAACATCATCATCTCTGAAAGGAAATGCCATAATTAGTGATCCGTAAGTCAAAACACAAGAAGGCAGGTCATCATGTGGAGAATGAGCATCATAGAAAACCAGTAGGAAGAAATTATGGTCTTATTGTGAAGAATATTCAAATATGAAGCTCCAATTAACCTTAACTGACTTGTATTAAATAAAACTCAGAGAAATCCTTTTTTTTTTTTAAAACACATTTAGATTTATTAAACTAATTGACAAGATTAGTGTAAATATTAATTTGAAAACTGAATTTGTAAGCGGTTACCTGAATGTGCCACCTAAATTATGATAAATTGTAGTTATAACTTAGAAACGTGTTCCTTCTGTTAATATATAATGTTGTAACAGTCCTGCAGTCTATTAACAAAACAAGGTATAACTGCAGTTGGGACATTAACTTACGAGATATCAAATAATTTTATTACTGTGCTGTGTAAACTATTTAAAAACATGACCTCCCCTTTTTGATAATTTCAAAAAAATCAGGCTCCTCTCTGATTCTGACCATTCTAAATGGAATTTGATTGACGGTTCTACAACTGTTTCTGAATGTATATGATTGCTTCATGTACATTTGGATCAGCGGAACAATAACACATATTTGTGAGCTATTTTCTCTCAAAT